GAATGTATTTATATCTCACTATAATTATTGTCCGTGTGACAGATTATTATATTTCTGAATAAATAAATAAATTTAATAAATTTAATGAAAATAATAAAACATAACTTTTAAAATTGCTTGTTGTTTACTAGTTATTAATGGTCCGATATCGACCTTTTTTTTCTCTTCTTTTCTTTCTTTTTTTTTTAAGAAAAAATTAGGCATTAGACATTTCTGGGTAATAAAATCATTTTTCGTAACTGAAGAAGATAAACATAAAAATGATGGATCGATCATTGGATCAATTAAGAGAATAAATAAGGCGTACTGACATAAAACACCTTTGGGAAACACGGTGCGATGGTGAGCGATCTTGGTTTCCATAATGCAGTTCCAAATTTTAATAATACTTAACTTGCTTAATAGAGCTTAAAGAATATAAAACAAAAGTAAGAAGAAGAAAATATTACTGAATCGACATTTTCACTCAATCAATATTTTCAATAAAACCATTAAGAAGGTCGTGTGAATGAACACACCTGAAATAGTTCCTTCTTTTTCTTAGTCATGTACCTAAACCGTTGAAGACACAGTCTCAAGAATTATATGGCCGATTTTCATAATTATTATTAATTATTTAATTTTTTTTTATCATTATAATTATAATTTAGAAATCTCTCAAATTATAATGGGACAACTATGTGGTTTTCCTGAGTTATGCGAAAAAGACATTTTCCTTTTCTTAGGAAATTGTTATCCTTTTTTGTCCTACCTTTTATGTGGATGAATTTATATTGCAGCGTTAGAGTAGATGGTAATCTTCAGTAACTAATCAATTAATGCTGCTTTGAGGGGAGAGGAGGAGGGGAAAAAATCTTAAAACATGTAAATAATATGTAAAACGAAATTTGTAAAGCTTTCAATGTAAAATCGAAATAAAATTTTTACTAGCTAAATGCTTTACTTTTATTTAAAATGGCTCTCATTCAGCTGAATATTTAACTTCCAGTATTTGGAAAATGATAAAAGAAAAAAAAGACCTATTAGTTAAAGATTACCTTTGACCTTTCGCTATGATAAAACCATTGTACTAGGTTTCTCACGTTTTCCAATTCAGTAAAATGAATAACGAAAATAAGACAAAACCCAGAATAAAAACAAAAACTAAATATTCCCTGTAACAGACCCCTTCCCTTTTTATCAAATTATTAACATCCGGGGAAAACTTCATAAATAGTTCGGAATTGGAGTATTTTCAATCTGGCGAATGAGTATTTAATTATGTACTAAAAACTCGTTATATAGGCCAAACGAATCAATATTTTTGAAGGCCACCTTTTTTTCTCGACTTAGTGCTCAAGTCATCTTACGATTAAAGTGGAAAGCAAATGGGTAGGGTATTCACGAGTTTTTAGGACCTAATTAAATAGACAAAGTTTGCCGACCTCCATATTGAAAATGTCCCAATACCGAGAATTTTCGCAAATAAAATATTGATTTTCTTTAGAGAATCGATTGGAATGCGACTGTATACTTCTACTCCCAGGACAATATTTTCTAAGAATTTCTTAACACTTTCGTCTGATCGTTAAATATTCATAAAGTTTAATAGAAAACAGTTCAGAAGTTGAGGAAAAAATTTCCTTAAAAGCAAACTTCCCTCACTCCCTTAGAAAAAAAAATCCCGATGCATTTCTAGTATTTTTTCAGTTATATACTGATAATTTTTTTACTGTATTATAAATAACCTACTGTCTACAGCCGCTATTAGCACCAATATTTCCTAAGCAATACCTTAACATACTTCATTCAGCTGGGCAAAAATAAATATTTTGAGAATAATATTCAATAAAAATTCGATCAAAAGAATATAAATACAATTATTCACCATTACTAGTGGTTGTAAAGTGTGTGTGCTATGACAGGTCAATAACCTTTTGGTCAGTCAATAAAATAAAATTTAAGAAATAAAAGCTATTCCCACATTATCCACAATGAATTACAGGACTAATATCCTTTAAATCAGGCGTTACGTTTACAGGTAGCAATATCCGACTGGTAGAATATCCTTTTTTAAATATAAATATTTGAAAAAAAAAATAAAGCTTTTAAAGTTTGTATAAATTTTTTTTTCACGAGCACTGGCTGAATAACAATTTCAAACTTAAAATCTTACTAAAACTACAATAAAAGTAACTGAAATAATTGTGAGTTTTCAAAAGCCGGCGGGTCGAGACGGAATAATTTTTTTAATGAGTTATGTGGTCATAAATATAGTTTCTTTACTTCTTTACTATACCAGGCCATGCGGATTAAATAAATATAAATATTACAAAATGAACCGCTTTCGAGATAAACCGTAAAGCCGCTATGTTCTAGTCCAGGGGTCTCCAAACTTTTTGTCCCGCGGGCAACGTTGAGAACCCGACTAAGTTCTGCGGACCTTATTGCGATCTTCACGCAAGTCCCGCGGCCCATTTCTTGTGATGAAAAAGAAAATCTTGTTCTATAAATGACAATGCACCTCTGAAATGAGCTTTCTAAGTGAAAAAAAAACATGTAACAAATGTTGTAGTAAGCCCTTGTGTGAGTAATTTTATACTTTAAATAGGTTTTAAAATTTTAACATGTATTCGAAGGAACTTTCGCGGGCCGGAATGATATTGCTTGCGGGCCGTAGTTTGGAGACCCATGTTCTAGTCGAAAGGAGCTATAGTCGCCATCTTGATCAAAATATCAGAAACTCTTATGATATTTTTAATAAATAAAAATAAATATCCTTGTATGGCTTCTATAATCAAACTAATAGACTTCTAGTGAGAGAACTCTATACAATTATGTCGTGAGCGAGAAGTGCATCGGTTACAATGTCTTATTGCTCAGCTATTGAACTGGAGGGATATTTTCCAGTGGGACAATATCCCTCGCTGACTCGTGACTCGCTTATCAAGTAAAATTTTATTTTAACAGTCGAGATAAGTATGAAGCTTCACCAATTAGCGTGGTAGCTAAGTGGGTGAGCACTGACTTCCAGAGCCCAATTTACCTAGGCCGTATAGCGTGACCTACTCCCCCCCCCCTCAAAATATCAAAATAACGAGGGCATAAAGCCCAAACGACTAAATATTTTTGTAGGCCACTTTTTCTCGATTTTGTGATAAAATTAGCTTACGATCCAAGTGGAAAGCAAATGGATATTTGGGGTTTTTTAGTACATAATTATATAGATAAAGTTTGTCGATCTCCAGATTCCAAGAGTTTTCGTTAATAAAATAGTTGTAGATTAAGATAACATGGAGCGAGCTATTCATGAAGTTTCAGGCGGGTGTTAATAATTCGATAAAAAAGGGTCTGTATCAAGAACTATTAGCTAAAAAGTAGCTGTAAAATTTCAGGCATATGCTTATCTCAAACACGTAATTGCAATATCAAACGTCTTTTATTTTTTGATATTTTTTTTCTCGATTTTCTGTTAAAAAAACCAGACCCAAGAGATTGTTCTTTTTTGTTCAAATTGTCAAGACTTATCTCATTATATTACTATTCTTATTCTTCCTGAAATTTGTTTTTAATCAGATAAATTGTTTTTCCTATTATTTTTTTGTTCTCATTTTGTTAATTACCAAAGTTCTTTATGCTTTTCATTTAACTATTTTTCATTGCTACTAATGACGAAAAATGATTAATTGTTTCAAACAAATCTTTTAAAGGTATTTAAGAAGAAGCAATTTGGTAAATTGGGCATTTAAGCCATGTCAAATTATTTGAATGAGGGCAAGACCAACATAATATTAAAAAAACATTGCATTGAACATTATTAATATCATTAGAGCCGTTTGCGAGAAAATTGTAAATATATGTAAAATCGATTCCACAAGCTAAATGAAGTTCTACGTTCAATAAGCCGATTTTAGCGAAAAAGTTGCTGTAACATCCCAGGCATTTTAAATATGTAATTTCACTCTTCTTTTTGAACGTCTTGTTTTTTGAGCCGTCCATAAACAAAAACCCACACACAAACGCAGACTATTTTGCGAGAATTAGTTATTTAGACACCAAGGAAACATCAAAACACGTATTTAAGTTAAAAACGCGGATTCGAATTTTTTCACGACCGTAATGCTTTGCCTTACTACATATTTCATACATAAGGCAAATGAAATTTAAAATGCTAAGAGAAACATCAAACTCATACAAAAATGTTATTCTCAACAAAAAAAAAAACAGGATAATTTTTTTAATAAACTACTATTGTTACCACAACCTATATAAGATTTTATAATCTTTCATTCGACTAAAAATAAATAATCATAATCAGATATAATTCCAACAGTAATCAATAAGACTGTAAAATTTGAATAAATTTTCCAACATTAAAAAACAATCTAACAATTCAAGAAGATCAATAATCTTCAAAAGAATAAAATTAAGAAAATAATTTGGAAACATTCATTTTACAATGTAGATTGGATTGATGAAGTACACTAGAATAAGGACACCAGGTACCTAGAGCTAATAGTAATGGTAAGAATTTAATATTATTATTATTATTAAAACACTTTATTCAGAAATATTACAATTTGTCACAGTTAAGGACACTTATAATAGAGTTCAGAGATTGCATTCATACCGTAATTTAATATAAGGAACAAAAAGCATTGGAAACAAAACTAAAAGTCTCGTGATAAAAATAAATAAAAGGGGGGAAATAATAAAAATTGGTGACATAACGATAGAGGAGTCATTCAACTACCCTTCCCATCCCAGCCTGCAGAAGTGCTTTGAGGGTCAGCCGGAACGCCATCGCCGGGCCGGACTCCTGTACAGTTTTCCAACATTACACAATATTGTGTATGCGTTTTTCCTCCATTTCCACCGAATATGTTACTGGCGAAAATTTGACTTATTTTATAACACAACCTTAAAATCTGCACTACGTTCACCTGTGCCTACTTCCGGCATATGATATAACCAATAATTACGTAGGGATCAGCATAGCTCTAGTTCATAAAAAGGGCAACATGGCGGATCCCGGGTTGGAAAGTCAGACAAGTCCATTTGCCAAGCAGACGGGGGGAGGAGGATGGCCTGAGCCAAGGTTACACCCCCCTGCCAATAGAATGAGATCGCCCGCGGGTCTGCCGGAACCTAGCAAGCAGTCGGTAACTTGTGACGTCACAGGAGCAAGCTTCCGGCCTCACAGATTATATTTGTCGTTGCAACACATGTAAAAGGGCGATTTAGGAAGCACATGCCCCCCCTCCCCCACTCCAAATAATCATATGAATATTGGATAAAAAAAAGGTGTTTGAGATCAATAATACTAAATGTTGATAACTTATCAAGTAATGTCTACACAGTTTGTAATTTTATTTATTTGCTGAATTCATTACAAGCATGATTACATACAACTTAAACTGACCATAGCTGTAAGACCACACTGACATGAATGGCCTGCATCTTCTTGTAATTAATTGTTTTAGCCATTACACATAAAAGCAGTCTATACTATTCTGAACGTTTTTTCCCATCTTAAAAGCATGCATGTGGCTAATTCATGAAGACTTTAATGTATTTATATGATTTATGCTAACGGGAACTAATTAAATATATAAAAAAAGACAGGTATGAAATCCAAATTACTTCGGCAATTCTTAAAAATTAATTATGAAAAACATGATTTCAACAAGTCAGTGACTCGATAATCTAATTTTTTTTTTACGGATTATCAAAACACATAATGAATACAAAATTCTTTTTTAAACCAAACATTTCGCTAATTATTAATTAATACTGTATTCATTACAAAACAATGGGGAATAACATTTAATGAATTCTTATGACAAAAATAAATTCTATTTCTTCGAAACAAGATAGAGTTCAAAGTTCACAATCTAATTAACCAAAATAGCAAAAATATACCTTTAAATGAATGAAAAATTATGGAAAATGCATCTACATTAATACAATAATAATGTTTCTGAAATTTCCACTTTTTTTTTTGCAACAAATAACCGTTAATTGAAGTGGTTGAAAACATTTTATTGATTTTGATATGATAGTAATGAAAATAATTTTGGCTGTCCTTTCATAAGAGAACTCAATTATAACCACATTAAAATTTTGTGACAGGTTATTAGGATTTGTTTAAATTTTAAGTTTTCTTATTAAAACCTCTTACCTAAAAAGAAAAATAAATTGTTTGGAATATGATTGAAAGGTCAATAAGTCAACATTTTGAAACAGTTTCTTGCCTTTCTGGTAATATTATGAATTTAAAATATTTTTTACTTTTCTTTCTCTGTCTAGCACCTTAGATATCAACCATTAGTGAATATAAATGTAGCAAGACATTTTAGATTTTTCAAAAATTTAAATTTTCCTACAACAATCTTATCGCTCAAGAGTAAAATTAAAATAACCAAAATATCACTGAAAGATGATAAGCCAATGTACTTTTAAACTTTTATTTAAAATTAAAACAAAATAAATGAAAAGTAATTGTTTTCAATTTTGCTTTTATTCTATACATACAAAAATAAAATAAAAAGAATAACTAAAATGAAATAAAAAGAATAACTAAGGCCTAATATGAACAATATGCAAAACATATGAAGTCAGCTAAAGAAAATAAATCAATTGCTATATATTTTTACAATTAATTTTTGTTTCCAACTTTCAAAGGTTGAGCAATAAACAATTAATTAAGTATTTCGTTTAATGGATAAATAAATATAAAGTTTACGAACAATGAAATAAATATCATTTCCCGTCCAATAACTTATTTCAAATTGGGACTAATTACAAAAAAAACATATTGCAATTGTATAAATATTCGATTCCTTAAATAAAATCATAATGCCATTATTTATTTTTTTACTGCCTACGATACCAACGGGCACCAATTTTTATACATTCAATTTATACTAAAACAATTAAATTATTAATATATATATATATATATATATATGTGTGATTGTGAATATATACATAAAACAATATTATATTACAACAATGGTTGAAATTAATTTAATAATATAATGAATAGAAAAGTAATTTAACTATAAAAATATGGGTGATATAAAAACAGACAGCGGATTTTCAGCTAAAGTAGGGCTATAATTTGTCGTATATTGTTCAAATGTTTACAAATGACAAAGTTCAATTACTTTTTGAAATACTTTTAACTATCCAGTTATTAGTGAAATTTTCTTAAAAGCAGATATACATACCACTTATCTTAAAAAAATAAATCTCAATTTAAAACAACCGTGTTTCAGACAAAGTTCCAAATAGCTGATAATACAAAATAATTTATGTAAATAATTTCCTTTTAAAAACATTTAATCAAATAGCATATTTTGGGTCTCTTTGTTTGTTTTTTTGTTTTTTTATCAGATCATTGTGAATATTTACAGCCTAAAATATCATGTAAAATCTGATCATAATAAATTATAAAGAATCGTTTATATTTTAAAAATCGAACATGATGTTTAATTTCAGTGAGAGCTTCCTTCATAGACGAACTAGCGATCCAAATTAATGAACAACGAATATAAAAAAATTAAGAAACATTGGATCAACCAACTATCCAACAGTTTTAAAAAATACATTACAATCTAAGATAGAGCTTATCAGATAAAAAAACCAATTCTAACTATAATTGAATTTACCTACATAGAAGTCACTAGAAGCCAAATTAGTTAAATTAGACACATCGTTTTGAACAATATGTACATAAATGAAGTACAAAACTAATAGGAAAACACAAAAGCAGATATTTTCAAAATCTTATGTTGTAATTAAATATTTTATTGATATATTGAACTATATAAAATATTAAGATATATAAAGAAGATACATAAAATAATTTCTTTATGTATCTTATTTTAAATGTAATCATATGAAACAGAGGGGTATAAAAAGATAAACACAATCAATTTCTATCGAAAATGAATAAGAAAAGTATTTTTAATCAATTAATGTCTGAACTATTTTGATAAATATAAAGCTATTTGCAACATTAATTTATGACTTTTGAAGGTTATAAATGAACCTTAACAGTTATCTCTGAGCTTGTACTTGAGAGAAAACTCACTAATACCATTAAGCAATATATTAGTGTAAATTCAACAATTATTAATTAGAGTCTAAATAACTTTCACTAATCTCTTACAAGTTTTTAACAAGAAACCTATTATATGTACCAATCCTTTTAAAAAGTCATGTAATTTTTATCTGCCAATAAAAAAAATAAAAGAGATACGTCCATATAATGAACTATTTCACACTTTCTTCAAGGTAGAGAATATGTCAACATATTTTTTATAGATATTGCAAACAAATTTAGGAACTACTAATTAATAAACAAAAGAAAATAGTAATGATGAAATTATTTTACAAGTATTACCTCGTTTAGCTACAGCAACTTCTTCGGCTGACAGATCACCTGGATTGACAACTACTATTACAGGTTGTAGGTCTTGGTCTTCTCCTTCACTATCATCAGAATTGTATTGTGGCAATGCCTCCCTCTATGAATGAAATAGAAGTGTTCAGTGTGTATTTGAAAACTGATTCTAAAATAGAGGTACAATGCTGATATACCCCTATCAAATATAAACTATTTCACTAATGTATATAAAATAACATATGTCATTGAGATGCTGTATACTTATTATAATTTTTATAAGAACCGCCAAACTACAGTAGGTAGGTTTCAACAAAACATTACATCAAGACAATGGCACAAATTATCAGATATGTTGTCAATTCATCATTTACCTTCGTATCAACAGTTGGACCTTCTTTGAACCCAACTTGCTCTTTTAAACGTGCTAAAAATGCAGGCTCTTTAGGTTTTATATACGCAACATTTCTTTTGGACATTTCACTACTAGGGCAATGACATTATAAGTATTCCCTATTGCAGTAAACCTAAAGTTTTGTTGAACCTAAAGGAAATAAATAAACAACATATTCACTATAATTACAACATAATAATATAACTACAACAGTACGAATTCGGCACCTTTCAGCGTAGCCTCTTCAAGTCAATGCCATAACTATAGACGGTTAAGGTTAATCATGCTTTTTAAAGATGAATTTAAAGTCATTGATTTTTTAAAAACTTTTAAATATCTCTATAAAATATTTTTTAAATAGATTGTACTGTAAAATATTAATATTTTCTTCTACCAAGGTAATATACTTTAATGCTCAAGTAGGCAATTGAGTGTAACGGTCAACGATACAAATTTGACTTGTGTATGTGCTATGTATGTGGGGTTTTAATTATTATTAGTATGTATTTTTAATTATACAAGATTCTATTAGTAACCAATAATTTAAAAAATATTTATTTTATGTTCACTGTATATATAATTCTCAAGAATTTGACCAAATTAAAATTAAAGTTTATAGTTGAAAAATTCTTTTCTTCAGTTGTTATCATATTCTGATTAGCTGAATGTTCTAGGTAAGTTAATGGACAATGGAAGAAGATGACTATTCCGATGATGCTTTAAATACTTCAGCAGACTTTTTCGCAAATAGTAGCACTGATACAGTGACTGAAAATTTTCCTCCACCTCCTTTAGTTGATGGAATAAATGAAAAATTGATTTTATCACCTAGAAGTGACTCTCTCTTAGATGAGTTTATTTCTGACAGTAATAATCCTCGAATATGTTGTCCATTTTGTATTTTTGATTTTGGTTTTGAATATATTCTCAAAGAACATATCAAAGACTCCCATCCATTGGAAATCAAACAAATTCTTAGTTCAAAACCTGGTGGTTCTGACTTTTATGAATGTCCGTTTTGTGAAGCTAAGTTTTATCATAAAGATTTATTGCCAAAACATGTGTTACGGAAACATCAGTTGTGTATAGTTAGTATGTTCTCTGGATTTAGCCCAGAAAAGCATGTTTACTGTCGTTTCTGCCCCCACAAGATACTTCGCAAACATTATAAACTATTGTTAATTCATATAGAGAGAAAACATTTTCAAGTTTTTGAAAATTATTTCATACAGAAGTATTCTAGAATTAGTAAAAGTTTAGATGATTTAAAAGTTATAGAAGCTGAAGATTTTGGTAGTGAATATACATCTCCAGGACTGTCAAACCAAATGAATAAATTAACAACTATTGAAAAGGATTCTCCATCAATCAAATCCATATTAAAACCTCACACTGCATATCCTATTGAAGCTGCAGAAACAATTGAT